TCAAAGCAAAACAAAATTTGGAATGTTTTTTGTTTTTTCTTTTGCCAAAGAAGTGAAGATAAACAAACCCAATAATATATTTTTATATAGAAACAAAACTATCCGTTGAAGAATAATCGAATTCAGAAAGAAAAAAAAATAGCCGTTTGGAAGAAAACAAACACTCAACGGAATCAAAGTCTGAGAAGACCTCTTGCGATCGCATCAAGCCGCCGGAGAAGAAACACTAGAGACTAGACTTTGCAAAATGACGATATTGCCCTTGACAGCTAAAAATCGAGAAAATGACGATATTGCCCTTGACTTTATTGGGCCTAAAAATGTAAGCAATATAGAAAAGTTTCGCCAACTTCATTCATTAAGAAATTTGTTTACATTTCATTCAAGCACAAATGAAAAATCGAGAAAAAAATAACTTTATATCGAACCGAAAACAAGAGGATAAGCATAAATTATGTAGAGATGAGAGATTTTGGTTTGTGTTTCAGCAATTGTTACTAATGGTATGGTATAGTTCTGAAAGAATCACTTGAAGATGTTGTAAGATAACATCACTTGAAGATGAGATTGTGACATGTTTTGTCACAAGGGTAAGGACAATCAATGGCTTTCACTGTTGTTCGTTCAAAGTACCAATCACCAATAGATTCAGCAACAGTCTGCAAAAAATAAAAATAAAACAAATCAAAATTTGCAACGAAATAGAAACCATTTATACAAAACTGTAAAAAACAAATGTTTACCTTGCCATGAAGACGAGGAGAATCTGGTGCAAACCAAGTGTCTTGTCTTTCGGATTGGCAGTGTGCGAAGCACGAGTTTATGAACACACCGTTGTGTGTAGATGCCAAGAAAGATTTTACAGCGTTCACCATTTGAGTCCTGAAGTCTATTTGACATATAAGAGAATGATATAGAATTAACAACCACGAAGACGGTCTAGTGAGGATTTTGCTAGAACTGATAGTGAATATAAAAAATAGTCACCTTGGAAGAATTGGATTTGAGTTGAATTACAATGTGAGTGATCTGATTTGCATGCATTCCAAGAGCCGCTTAGGTCAACTGATGGAGGAGCTAAGCTCTCTTGTACCTGATCGAGATTAATTCGTTATGTTTTGTGAGAAATGAAACGTTTAATAGACGCAACAAGTGATCAGATACGAAGAAAGGGATTATTACCTGCCAAGCGTCGTAAGCGGCATTGAGAAGAAACATTGGAGTCTTAATGTTTGAAACCAAGTTCTGAGGAAAGAAGCACTGAGGAAATCAAACAGAACACAATGAATTAGTTTGAAGATGCTCGAAAGTTTTCCAACTTTGCTTGTGAGTATTAAGAGAAATATACCGAAGTTGGATCCAAATGCTTTGTACAAGTAGTGGACAGTTCCTTTTGGAGGTTCTACATTTTGACATAAAACAATATTAAGACGTATGAAGAACTCTCCAGAGTAATAAATTCTCTGATTCTGAGATTTACCTGTATTGTAACAACACCTTTGAACATATTCCGGATCGAGTGACCACCAGAGACATCCACTCTACATTTTCAGTTTTAACGTTTTGAAGTGTTCATAGACTTTGATGCAAGAGTTAACTAAAAAAAATCTTATGAAGGATAAGAAATTTACGCATCCATAAACATTCCAGCATCACTTAAGCATTTCACTTTCGTAGTACCCGGAAATACTTCCTTAAACTGATCGCAATGCAGAATCGAAGCTAATCCTCCCGCTGAACATCCAGACAATAGAGCCTGTGATAGATATATTTACTTACATGTAACTAAAACATCAACCATAGCAAAATCCAATAACCAGATAGGTTTTAAAAAAACAAAACAAAACCTGCTCTGCTTTTTGCATTCCTTTAGACAATAGTTCTTCCATAGCTGCTTGCCAGATTCGTTGTCCTCGGTAGTAAAGTTGTGAACTCTAGATAAGGGAAGAGAAAGGTAAGTGAAATAGCATCGGGTTACAATCCTAAGTATCGGAACACAAAAATACTCTTGACTAACCTCGTCCTGACTATCGCCAGTGAAAGAGGCACCATCACAGTAACGCAATTTAACTCTATTCCAGTTGAAAAAGTCTACAAACCCGTAAAACAGAAACGAATAAGCACACAGAGTATAAAGCTCGTTATAATCATGTGGAATACTAACCAGGATTCTCATTAGCTTTATTACTCAAGATTCCAGTAAAGGCCAAAACTTTCTCCATATATTTCGATGAACCACGACGAGTTGTTTTCCGAAAGATACAACTCCTTCGTGTGTTGCACCATCCTCCACCCTACACACATCACACACAAGTAAAACCAAAATCTTCTCTAATCAAAAGACTCAAAACTCATTACCATAAATTACAAAAAAGTTCGATATATATAAACCTCGAGTAGAATCAGCCACCGGTTAGCTCCTGATCCAGAACCACGGTGTAGATGATAACCAGGTAATGTACCATCTAAACAAACTGCAAATCGATTTCGAAAACGAAAAGACTAAGTTTTTTCATCATCAAGAACAAATCTTGAAGCTATCTTAGGATTTAGATTCAAATACCCACCAAGCCCTCAACAAAAAGATTTGAGATTTTCAGCTTCAATGAATCTCGAGAATTTAGACCTTACAGTGACACATCTGTGCAAGTATGAACAACTTC